TAACATAGGCAGGGCCTATGGAGTGTATAGCGCTGCTTTCCAACCCCTGCTGGGAGATCCAGAAGGTATTTTGCTCTGTGTAGCCCCAGTTGCCTTCATTTTTGCTTCAGCTGGTCAGAAGCAAGGTAGCATTTAGCCCCAACATTTACCTTTAAAATCACTTTAAGTAAGAGAAGCAGGGCAGCAGCTCCTAGCAGTGTAACGGGTGCTGACGGGCGAGGCTGCGCTGCAGGGGAAGGAGCCTTTTCCCAGCCTTGCCCCGCACAGGCAGCTCGGTCACGGATGGGTTTACAAGCAGCAAAATGAATTCTGCTGCGATGTCCGTCCACTCCCCCATGCTGGAGGCCGCGGCTGCAGGGAGGCTCAGCAGCAGGGGCGTAGGAGCGAGTGTCCCTCAGCCTCTCCGGCACAAAGTGCCGCTGCCTGGTGCTGACACCTCCAGCCGCCGAGGCTGCGGACCGTGCTGTGGGGCCAGTAACTTCCGCAAGCTGGGATGGGAGATGGGGTAACTTGCCCATCTCCTCCATGACATGTGTTGAGTTCCCCTCCGTCCTTGGCTCTTTGTTGACATGAACCTGCGGCAGGTTGGAGTCTCCTGGTTCTCCTCAGTGCTCTTTCAGGTTTGTCCCCTTGGATGCGGCTGCCCTGTACCTCTAAAGCCGTGCGTGCCCTGGGCAGGGGAACCTGCCGCGTCAGCAGCGTTAGAGCAGGCAGTGAGTGAGCCTGGCAGTGCACCAAGCACTGAAATCTCACAGATTCAGGGGGCAGAGACCTCTCAACCTGCCCAGTCTGTGGGGCTGGCATTCGTCACCCAGCCCTCTGGGTATCTCCAGCTTCAAAGGAGGGTTTGGGGGTCGTTTTACCCCACAGGTTTGGGATGGCTCTTGCAAAACCTTACTTCCCCAGTGCTGTGGGACACCACCGTGTCTTCTCCTGGGCTTTGTTTTGCTAACTGGAAGAAGCAAATTCTTCTCATCCTCTCCTCTGCCAGGGATGGGGTGCTGGGAATACCCATGGGTGTCACTCGTACCCCATGCTATGCTACGGTGGTGTTTCCTGTACTTTGCAGGGGCTGGCCCCACTTCCTTGTACCATTGGCTGCGGGAGCAGTACAAGCCGTGCCACGCTGGAGCTCTGGTGCAAGGCAGAGTCAACCACAGGCATGGGAAGGGGGGTTTAGATGAGTGAGTGGTTGGCTTGGCTTGCCTGGACCAGGTCTCGGCGGGTGATGTTGGTTTGCTCTGTGCATTGATCTTGCACATGGGTTGAAATGGTCGGGGCTCAGCGTGCAGGTGTCACCCCCGGAGGACAGCACCCCCAAATGCTGTGCTGGTGAAGCAGAGCCATGGCAGCATGGGCGCTCACCCGCTCTGCCGGAGGGAGGCTGGTGGCGGCTGCCTTTGGGCGTCCGTGCCGGAGCGGGGCTGGCTGAGTCACTCCAGTACCTTTCAGCAGCAGCGAGCTCAGTGCGCCGGGTGAGTCAGCCCTTTCCAACCATTTAAAACTGGTTGGAGGAATCACGCCCCACACGTGCCTGTGTTTCCCCCCAGTGATGAAGGGACTCCAGATGAGAGCCTTGGCCGGAGACATCTGCAGTGGGAACTCGGCTGGGCTGGGTCTAGGTCTGAGGTGCTTCACTGGTGTTAACGGGGAATTAAACTTGAATCTCCAGGATCTCCAGCTAGGGCTTAGCCACAAAACCATTTCTCAGCCAGCTCGCCATTGCTCTCTGCACCTTGCTGAATCGCTCTGTGTCTGGAGGTGTTTAGACTTGGGGAGCAGCAGAGCATCCATGGGGAGCTGGATGCCCGGGGAAACAGTGATGCTTGAAATACTGCTGGCCTCTAAGCATGCTGCGGGGCTGAAACCTGGCCTGAGGCTTCTCGTTTTCCCATTCATTTGTTAACATTTGCAATTAGAACACTTTTAATTTTTGATGCAGAACATCCCGCTGTGCAGTTAAATTGGTGTGACTGGAAACAAGGAGGTGGAAGGATGGGATATTAGGGATGTCGAGCTGGTTTCTCCGAAGCAATAGGTAGCAAACCAGCCCCTGCACGTCTGTGGGAGCATGCCGGTGGGGTGGGAGCTGAGGTTTGCCGCTGCTCTGAGGGCAGCCAGAGGCTTGTGGTCCCGATACGGCCCTCGCTGATGCTGCACCATCCCCGTCTCACCTGCTGCACTCCCACTGTGGGCCAGGTAGGGGTTGCATGGTGTCTTTAGAATACCCTATGGGGGAAAAATACTTTTCATAGGGGTGGTTTGTACCCAGCTGGATTCAGGTCGCCCTCTCTGTGGTGGTGCTGTGATGTGGGCCATGCTGGGCTGGGCTGGGCTGACCACCTTCCACTGGTGTGAATCTGGCACAACCTAAAGGTCATCCTGGGGTCCCTTTCAAATTTATCCTAGCTACGTGTGTATATATGTCTTGTTCCTAATTTACCTTGTGCGTGTGCATACTGAATCAGGCCACGGACCCCGAGGTTCATGTGCATCTCTGGTTACAGAGGGAATCACGAGCTGCAGTGGTGGTGCACAGCTTGCTTTACCTGCCACAGGGGTAAACTTAAATCTCACAAAATCTCCCAGTGCATTGATAACACCTGTCTGCAGGAAAAAATACATGGATATTCAAATCCCACTTTGCTCCTCCTGCACATGAGGAACCTCTGTTCCCTGGTAGGAGCAGAGCATTTCCATAGCTGTGGTCCACCCAGGGCAGAGTCCGGTTCCAGGGAAGGGGCAATGCCAGATGCTCCAGTGAGAAGGGCCAGATACTGTGGGGGTAACACAATCCCCAGGCCAGCCCCCCTCCCAAATTTCCCTTGGGAAATGCTGACTTTGACCTGAAGTGGGAGAGTTGAAAACCCTTCCCAAGGCTCTTAGGTAATATATACAGTACTTTCTAGACTAGAGATCTTTTTTGCCTGTACCACATTTAGGAAGAACATTTCAAGAGCACTCCTGGCTTCCTTTGCATTGCCTGTAGTTTGTTCGGCTGACGCTGCTGAGTGGATTTAGGCGAGCGAGAAGTGCTTTTGAACATCCCCCCTGAGCCAACAGGGATGTGGTGCTGGCTCAGAGGGTTTTCCTTCCTTCTGGAGGACCAGCGTTGCGGATGAGTGCATTTTCCAGTGCCGTTCCTCAAATCATTTACTGCCAAAGCTCTGTGGTTGTTCTTGTTTAAGAAAGAGAGAGACGGAAAGCAAACGCATCCTGAGAATGCAAAGTAATCTCATTTGGATGCTGAACACCTTGTGTAAATTCCTGAGCATGAGAAGTTAACTGTAAATGCGAGTTTGGGATAGCGCCCAGTTTTCAGGGGAGAAGAGCTTTGGGCAGAATAAATATTTACCAAATCAATTGACTTTTTTCCTTTCTCCCTATTTGCATTAGCTCCATGAGTAACCACATTGTAATGATGCTTTACGCACTGGTCTGTGCCACAAAGGCATGGAGTCGACCAGCTTTCGGGCTTAAAACCCTTGCTTTCAGGAGCTCTCTGCTGCGGTACATCCATCGGTGTCTAGCGGCAGGGCTGATACCGGGGGAGAGTTTGGGAGCAGGGCTCCGTTGCAGAGAAACCACAGACCGTGGCTTTCCCTTGCAGCCACCGATGTTGCGCTGCTGCTCGGACCATGGGTGCAGCGTCCCCGGGGACCCCTCCCTTGCCTGGCATTGCAGGGGGCTGCGGTGTTTTTCCTCCTGCCAGGATCAGCCCTACGCACACTGCTGGGTTTTAAGCCTTCCCTTTGCTTTCTCCATGACCACCTCTCTTGTCTACCTTTCCCTTCCAGGTCCGAGAAGTGTAGTGTTTCTGAAAGCTGTGAACCAGGTGAGGAATAATTTGTTTTCTCTTGCAAAATAGTGATATTGGAGGGAGCACTAGAGAAAGCTGCCTGCAAAGTAACTTGGACATGTGGCACCAGTTACCTTTTTGCCCCACAGGGCAGTTCTCTCAGAATTTTATCCCCGTTTGATAGATACAGAGTTGAAGGGTCTTACTCTTTGACCCTCCAGTTGGGTTCCAAAACTGCTTAAATTGAAATAACAAGACTTAAGCACATGCTTAAATGCAATGCTAAGGGAAATCTTCACTTTTAGACTTCTCCCTAAAAGCTGCCATGGTCAGGTCACCAAGAAATCATCAGTGTCAGTGCTCTGAGCACCGCAAATGAGAAGGAAATTATTTTACTCAGGTTTAGGTGCTTGGACCCATTGAATCACCACTGAATCGGTGAAGCCACACCAAGCCTCGCTGTCCTGCCTGCCCAAGCTGCAAGCTGTGACTCAGCCCCTTGCAGTGAGTCAGTCCTACCCTGAATGAGGAAATTTATCTGGAGATAAGAGGCAGCTGGGCTGGGCATCACATGCAGCATCCTCCTGGGGCAGCCTCTGTGGGCTGGCCAGGCTGGCGCAGGCTCCCTGCCCCACGGCTGTTCAAACCACACTGAATTTTGCCAGGGCTCAGCTGGTTGTGCCCTGGTGTGATGCGGTTGCGGTCAGCCCTCCCAGAGCACGGCTCTGCAGAAGGGCTTGTCCCAAACATGAGTTTGGGAGCATTAAAAATGTATGGAGTGCCCACTGGAGATGGCTCCTCCTGCCTTCCCACCAAGGCTTGTTGGCAACCCAGTCCGTTTTAAGTGGAGAGAGCCAGGAACGAGTGCATAACGAGGGCCGGTGGCTGGTTCAAGGGCACGGGCAGCTCCTGCCAGCCGAGCTGTTTGCAGAGACCATGCCTGTGGACATCCTTTGGGTACTTCCATCCCATGGGCTTGATGCTGCTGGGCCACTTGGCCAAAGCCTCGTTGCTGCGGGATGCTCAGCTGGCACTGAAGTCGCGGCTGGCCATGGTTTCCCTGCCTGCGCTGGTGGGCAGACGTAGCATTGCTGGTTCCTGCTGGCGATTTGCCTTTCGTTGCCTTTCCCTGGTAGGTACCTCAGGAGACCTGGGTGTGATCAGGCAGATCAAAATCGAGCCGGACGAGCTGGACATCATCCAGATCACCGTGCCAGGTAGGCCCTGGGGTACCGGCTGCGTGCAGTGGCCTCTGCGCAGGCACGGCTGCCAAAAAAACATTTTGCTTTGAGAAGAGGCGTTTGCAGGGTATCTCCCAGCACAGAAGGTCTCCCCGTGCCCATACAATGGTCTTCCTTCCCTGAAAGTCATTTTAAGGGGCATATCGGGAATGAGCTGGTTTCCTGGGAGCAGTGGAGAGTGTTTTAGGGCTCTTTGTTGTTTCTCTCTCTCCTTTGTTGCTTTTCTATCTTTCCTTTTCCCTGGAGAAAGCAAGCCTGGTTTGCAGCTTCTTCACCTGCGGGCTTGGAGGATCCCAGGTATCGAATGCAGGATGCTTGTGATGAGGTCCTTAATTTAGAAAAAAAGCCTGGTTATGAAGTTTTCATAAGAACAGGTTTAATATTAAGCACATACTGAAAATGTGTTTGAATTGGTGGCACTGATTCATTTCCCCATGTTTCTGCCCGGAGGGGTCGGTGGTGATGGGTGGTGATGGAGATGAGCGGTTGGGTGCTTGAGGGGCAGCTGGGAGACTTGTTTTCCACTTACCTGACCTGGACAGGGCAGCAAATGCTAGGATGATCCTCGGACTTTAATGAGTGGATAGTTAGCACTTCGCATTTTCAGTGTGCTTTACAAACATTAATTAATAATCTCACCAGAATGAGGGCAGCAACAGGACTCCCAACGTGCCCGAGGGTGAGCGATGCTGGCGACAGCAGTGACGCCAGGCCCTGCCGCACTGGTGCGATCTCTGTTGTACCCAAATTGTAGCAGTCCCCTTAATACAGTGATATTTGGGGAGTCACTCCAGGATTATCGTAGAATGGACTTAACATAGGAACAAGGTATAGTGGTAGATCAAACATTTTAATTTTCAACTTGGCAGCTAATGGAAGAGAAGAAAGCTAATACATCGGGAGCTGGCGGTGCGTGTGAGGAGGAGGAGGTGGTGTTATCGCTTCCCCGGTGCCGGGTAGATCATACTTCAACTCCAGAGTCCACCTTTTCTTACCTTATTTGAAGATTGAGTTCAATCAGAGGGAGTACAGCTGAGGGCAGGGAGGAGGATTAATAGAAAAGAGGTGCTCACCTACAGGGAGAAATGGATGAAATTAGGATTATTCATCCTGTGAGGTGATGCTTAAGAAGTGACCTGATTGCAGTATTTAAACTAGCTGAAGGTTTATTTAAAGCTAAATTTGGATAGTTCTTTGAGGGTGTTGGAGAGCCCAGCGTTCGGGGAGACAGGTTTAAATGAAGAGGGCATATAGGTTACGTAAGGGAAGCCCAAGGAGGTGTGATTTTATGGAGGAAGGCAGCATTAGTGGAATGGTTTTCCCACAGTGGAGTAGCTAAGTCAAGCAGCATTAACTTTTTAAGCCAAAATTGAGTGTCTAGATGGAATTAAGCCAAGTAAATAGTTTTGAACTATTTTTGCTCTTCACCTTCCATGGAGGTTAGGAAGAAACTTTGGCTCCTTTCCCTCCGGCTGAGAGGTCATATGGATTTCAGGGATGAGCTCCGGGTGGTCCCGGGAAGGAAGAAGGCTCCTGATGTGGCCATGGTGTGGGGGGCTCCTGGGACTGGGGGGGGCCCTTTACTCAGCCTTTCCTGATGAGCCAGGACCCTCTTGAACCCTGTTTTGGGGATGGTGACCCCCCCAGCATTGAAACAAAAGCTGCCCATGGGGTTTTGTCCACAGACCGATCGCCCGGTTCGGATGAGATGCACGACCCGGTGCCCACGCACATGGCCTCGGAGGAGTCGAACTACATCCTAGAAACAGTAACAGGTACCAGAGTTGAAGCATCTGGGAGACTGTGTGGGGGCACAGGAGCTTGTGTGTGTGTGAGAAACGAGTAAATACCGTTTATGAGCCGAGGTGATGGAGTCAGGACCTGCTTCCAGAGTCATGGCCTCAATCAGGCCAGCTGGGAGGTCTGATAGACAAACTGGTGGCTTTTCTGGCACTGCCACGCCTTCCCAGTCTCTCTCCAGCCCCAGCTCCCTGCAAACTCCGGCTCCTCTGCCCTGCTCACGACTGGGATTTACCCGGGGGAGTTGTGCCGGTGCTGCGGCTGCCCTCGCTCATGCCGAGTGCTGGGTCTCGCTTCTCCCAGGAAGCCCACGCTGAAGGGCGGGCAGAGCTCGTGGATGTAGGCGATGGGTTTGTTCTGCTCGTGCAGCTCCTGGCGTGATGCTGCCAGCCCGAGCCTGCGCTGGAGGTGTGTGCTCAGAGCTCAGTGAGGGGAGGGGTGGTTGCGTGACTGCAGGGGACCTGGAGACCTCCCGCTCGTATCTGGTCTGGTTTTGCTGAGACTGGCCACCACGAACCCTCCTCTTCCTCAGCAGGGACAGAGAAGGGGTCCAGCGAGGAGTCACGACACGAGGAAAAGCAGATGGACGGATCAGGTGAGTGTGCGATGAACCCCGAGCATCGCCTGATCATTGCAAGTTTTTGGAAGGATGGATGAACACAGATATATTTTGGCTTGGGTTTCCTGGGCTTCCTACCTTATCAGCAACGCATTCAGCCCCCAAAAAGCTCAACATGGAAGGACACTGCCGTGTTCTCGGGCTCTGTCCTCGCCTCTCTTGCCTCGATTTACTTTTTTCCCTATCTTTTTCCTCCTTGCTGCTAGCACCGCTCTGTGGCAGGTGCGTCGCTGCCCTGCCTCGCTCACGCTCAGGGGTGAGCTTGGAGGCAGCTGCCGGAGGACCGGCACCGATCTGGGAGGCGTGAAGACCACGCAGCCGGCTCTGCCGGAGGTCAGGGGCTGCTCGCCTGCACTGTGTGTTTCTTGCCCCAGAGGCAGCTGATTCCTCAGAGCATTTCTCTCTTTTTTTTCTTTTTTTTCTTTTTTTTTTTTTTTTGCAGATGGTATAGGGGACGTTTTAAGTCATTTGAGGAAACAAGTTGAAATTTTGTTCAACACAAGATACGGTAAGACGGTCATTAACACATATTCATCATGCCAAGCGCCGGCCTCTGCTGTGGGGAGCTCCTAATTGCTCAGAAATGTCACCTGCCATTTCCAAACCAGTGGCTGAGTAAAGGTGCAATCTAATTTGTTCATTTGCTGTCTGCTGGGCTTACAAATGCATCTGAAATCTCCCCGGGCCTTGTTATTGCAGCTCTTCCCCTTGGTTTCCTCGATGCCTTTTTGCTTGCTGCAGCCCAGGAATTGCTGCCATGACCTTCAGCCTTCCTCCTGCAGAGGGAAGGACCAAAGTGTTTCCCCCCATCACTTGTTTGAAATATCACAGAGGGTTTTCCACCCAAGGTGGTCATGGTGTGTCCTGGGAAGGCTGGCAGGACCCCGGTGCTGGGGGCTGGCACTTGGCATGCTGCTCACCCCTTTTTAGAAAGGTTATTTAACTGGAAAAAAATACATGTGAGGTCACATGTGCATTTTGAGAGCTGGCAGCAAGTTTTTGCCACTGGCAGGACCAGGAGACACAGCTCTGCCTGGTGGTCCTCCAAAGCTGGGGGCAGAGCTGAGCTGCGGCCCCTGGACTGCCGGAGCGCATCGTGACCAGGGGAAAGGAGAAGGGCCAGGATGCTCCTGGGCAGGGTTGGGTGCTGGGGATGCAGCTGGAACAGTGCCGGAGCGATGGCCCTGGCTGCACCCCATGCTTTAGTAACAGACTGGGAGTCCTCACCCACACTCGTGGGATTTTGTCCTGGCTTTTCACCTCTGGCCGAACAGCGCTGCTTGGTGCTAGCTTTTTGGTTGCTTATTGGCAATATTTGGGGGACCAAAGGGAGCCCACACCATGCCACGTTGCACAGGCTGGCAGGGCACCCCGAGGCACATTCCCCATCCCCTCATCTGTCAGAGGGAGGTCCATGGAGGTCTGGACGTGGGGTCCCATTGCCAGAGAGGTGCTTGCAACCTTTACAGGAAGCCCCTTCGATGTGTGCCACTGCAAGGCAGGCTGTGTTAATGCAGCAAAGGCAAAAGCCAGCTCCCGGCAGCTGGCTGGCTCTGTCCCTCGGCTTGTGTCTGCCAGCACCCGGGACATCCCCACCGGGGACATCCCCACCAGGCACAGAGTGACAACAACCTCTCCAAAAACCTCTCTAGTCCCCCACTGACATACCGTGTCGCCGCTGCTTTGACCCGATGAGGAGGTCCAGCAAAGTAACGAGATTTGGTCCCTACACAGCGAAAGCCATAGGAATATCGGAGCCGGTCAAAGTTCCCTACTCCAAGTTCCTGATGTATCCTGAGGACCTGTTTGTTGTGGGCTTGCCGGAGGGCATCCTGCTGCGGCGCCCCAACTGCTTCGGGATTGCGAAGCTGAAGAAGATCCTGCAAGCAAGCAACAACATCCAGTTTGTCATTAAAAGGTAAGGTGGAGCGGTCGTCGCCTGGGGAAGATGTTCCTGCTCGGAGCTCCTGCTGCTGTGCAGTGTCCTGGGGAACATCCATCACTTGGTCACCTTCAATAAATTTGCTTTATTAGAAGCAACCAAGGGTTGTTGCCTTGTTGGAGCCATCCCCGAGAGGCAGCGGTGGTGTTGTCATCTTTCCCTTGATGATTTTGGCTTTTTAACACACTTTTGCAAAGGTCTGGCCACAGCAGCAGGGAGCACCCAAGGGTGGGTGAGAGGAGCCAGAGCCTTTAACCTTCAGGCGCGGGGCAAGGAATGGGCCTGGAAGCCCTGGCGTGTTTTCTTATGAGAAGTGGCTCCAGCCAAGGTCCAGATGTGCACAT